CAGCCGAGCTCTTAGCGCAGTTCTATTGCTAATACTCTTTGAGTACAAAAAACAAAGCTACAACAAAGCAGCCAAGACCATATGGAAAACTCAGCTTCACAGGAAGTTCTTCACACATTACTTTAGTGCAAAATAATCATAAGAACATTTTGTAAAATAATGGTTGTTCAGTTTACTTTTCATGGTGAACATCACAGGTTTGCATTAACTTATTCTTTCTCACTGTCATGCTTTTATTGAGTTGTAATTAATTAATGAATAAACACCAAGATCATATTTCATGGGCATCACAAACATGTCACACCAAGTCATCTTCAGACTATGACCTAAGAAGATACCTTTATCAGTTAAATTAATATTGGATTCAGTGACTGAAACTGAAATCATTTTTGGTGTACAGAGAATGAAAGGGAAAGAAGTTGAATTTATTTGGATATTTTTGTAAAATGGTAATCATTAATTTTGGACATTTTTTTCTAATTAATAACTGCAAGTGAACTCTAATTAAGACTTATAAAAAAGAGTACATAAAAGAAAGTTTGGCCACTGTTCACTGTTTCTGGACTTTCATGCTAGTTTCAAATACATGATAGATTTCTAGATAAGTTCAACAAAATACACCTTCTACAGTTAATGAAGAAATATTCTTTTCTCCTTTCTGTGTCATGGTCAGGAATTTCTGTATGAAAAAATATCTGAGGAACTCGTGAGGTTTAATGTATACTACTAAACCAAAAGACAAATACTAAATATAGTTGGTGTTAACGTAGTGTTGAATTTAAGATACAGCAAAAGAAGCTAAACCAACCAGATAAGAAGAAAAAACAGAAGAAAATGTTAAATTATCAGAGGCTGGAAAATGAGAGAAGAAAACATTGGGAAAAGAACTTGGTGAAAGGAGGTGATAGGTGAAAATTTGTGCATGTAAGTAGAATTGTATATGCTAATTAGGGAGACAAGTTAATTAAAAATGTAGAGAATCCAACTAAGTGAAAATTGCAAATAAGCTGCAAAGAAGTTTAAAATGTTAAAAGAAATGTGTAAAAGTTTAATGTTTAAAAGCATTACAGAATTCTCAAACTGTTTGAAAATATACTACAAGCATTCCTGTTTAATATTAACAGTTATTATTTAACATTTAGAGTTACTAATAGGTCAGAGCTTAGTAAGTGTTTCATACAAAGCCTAAGGCTATGTTTCAGGTTATAACTTCATGAGGGCCCGGCATGGCCATGTGGTTAAGGCACTTGACTCGCAATCTGAGGGTCGGCGGGTTCGAATCCCTCTCACATCAAACATGCTCGCACTTTCAGCCGTAGGGGCGTTATAATGTGACGGTCAATCCCACTATGTGTTGGTAAAAGAGTAGCCCAAAAGTTGGCGGTGGGTGGTGATGACTAGCTGCCCTCCCTCTAGTCTTACACTGCTAAATTAGGGACAGCTAGTGCAGATAGCTCTCGTGCAGCTTTGTGCTAAATTCAAAAACAAACAAACAAAACAACTTCACAAAAAACTTAAACATCAGGATTTTGTTTGAATTGCTAATAGATGGGAAATTCTATATAGATCTGGTGATAGAGTACTTTAGATACTCATGCTTGGATTGACTAAATATGATTGATAATATAGTACTATAGTTAGTTGCTGTTTGAAAGTAGTTTTGAGTTTTGATTCATTGTTCCTGTACATTTATGCTCAACACCCAACTATCCCCTCCTTTTAAATTTCTCATCTGAAGGTGCTATGTTAAATATTTAAAAAAGAATATAGAGATGTAGCTGATTGAATGTATCACATTACTAGTCATGATATTTGTGTTCCTTGTTCCACATAATCTTGGATTTTCTAAGAATTATGTTTTTATATTTTTTATCTACTTATTCTAAGATAATTTCGTTAAGTCTTTCCCAGTCTTGCTCAATAGTCCCCTTTCCATCACTACTTAATTAAAGTTGAATTAGATCAAATACTAAGCCTTAGGAGAAAAGTATTTTTGGGGAAAATGTTTTCCAGTTTTCTTCTGTATATTTAGTTAACATGCAGGTTTTTGATACATTTTTAATATCTTGAAAATATCATTTCTCGTTTTTAATTTTAATGTTAACCTTAATTTCATTTAAACTCAAAAATATGTAAGCTATTACAAAACATTCAAAATGTCATGTTGTTCTTCTGATACCTTTGAAAAAGTTTTTAAGAGTTTATTATGTTTCATTTTTATATGTTCGTCTTTGCTTTCATTTTTTATAATTACTAATGTAGTTTTCTCCCACTGACACTATGATTGCTTGACCCACTTTGGGAACAACAAGACTACCTTACTGGTTTGCCAGTTCTTTTGAATGTTGGTAAAGTTAATTCATATAAAATAATAAATAATCAGTGTTAAAAATAAATATACAATATTGTGTTATTAATCCTTACCCTGATTCTCAATTGTGAAAGACATATTAGGTCGTCAAGAAATTAATGTTAAAGGTTGTTAATGCCCTGATTAAAAAAATCACTTGGCTTTGAAGCAAAAAACATGTCGATGTCCTCTTTAACACCTTCCATATTTGCATACGTTTTCCAATTAAGATGGTGTTGCAGCGAATGAAAAAGATGGTAATCTGATGGGTGGGGGAGAACTTCCTAACCCAACTCCATAATCTTGTGTTGCGTCAAACATACCACATGTGACCGGCACTGTCATGGAGAAGAAGAACACCTTTCCGATTGACAAGTGAAGGGTGTTTCTGATGAAGGGCTTGCTTTAGACTTTCCAGTTGCTGACTACAGATCTCTGCATTGACAGTTCGCTGTGGATTGAGGAGTTCGGAATAAATTACTCCTTTGATGTCCCACCAAATGCAAAGCATCACTTTCTGCGGATGGAGTTCAGATTTTGGGGTCGGAAGTGGTTTTTGTCTAGGACTGAGTGTTGTTTTTGGCATTTAATATTCGCATAGAGAATCCATTTTTCATCACCAGTGACAATTATGTCCAAAAATAGTTCACGCGCATTATGCGGCAGAAGAGACGAAGCAACATTCACATGTTCGAAACGATGATC